GGGACTTTAGTAAGTGACCGTTGAATAGAGGGTGACCGCTTAATAGAGTGCCGCTTAATAGAGGTTCGACTGTATTTCATTAACCCTAAGAAAATTTCTGATTCATTTAGTAAGCTATTACCTCTTGAAGAATCTGTTACTAATTCTGGAACGTCCTGATAACAAAAAATAATAATCATTGAAATAAAATAGTTTTTGTAATATATAATAGAGCGGATGCAATTAAACTGTGAAATAAAATCAAACTAAATACTAAGGCCCCGTCCACACGTATCCAGAAATTTTTGTATCCGCAAAGAAAATGTTTGCGTCCACACGCAGCGTATTTGAATCGTTTTCACCTTCCACACATGTCCGTTTTCGTAGAATTTGCAGATACAGTCACAGAAAATTTGAGGACACACGTGGACACAACCCGTATCCGTAAAAAAAATTGGTAAATAGTAGCTATTTAGTGACAAATAGTTGCTATCACTCAACCAGAACATTCATATACAAAGACAAATACGCAAGAGTACATTTGTGTCTTTTGTTTAATAAATGTTCTGGTTGAGTAATAGTGACTATTAGTCACTAAATAGATACTATTAGTCAGTACAGTATTTAGTTTGATTTTATTTCATGGTTTAATGGCATCCGCTCTAGCTCAACAAAAAAGTAAACCAGGAATGGCTCACACACAGCTAGAATTTAGTTCGTTAGAAAACGATCAAAACAAAAGTTGATTTACCTCCCCATCTGAATCTGTTTCATCAGAACTGGACATCATATCATCATCATCATCATAAATATCATCATCACTATCTCCACTAGTATCGGAGGTATCAGCATCTACAAGGTCTGGTATGCCATCTATAATATTCCTTTTGAAAAATAGCAAAGAAATATGATTATGTTTCGTAAACTCAATTGGTATTAGTCAGTCTGTCATGCAGGGGGTTGCAGTTTAACTCCTGGCCAGACCAACACTCAGGGTCTTAAGATAACTTAGGTGAAGGTGCTTCCTTGTTAATTACCGGTACACCTGCAAATGATTAGAGCTTTGCTTGGATCAGATGACCACGTTAGACTGGTGGTGGTCCTATCCCTAATCAACTAGAGATGTTAAAAGCAGACCATGAGTTTATCAGTTTAATTACCGTCAAGTGTTATCGTCAATCACCAAGGTTGGTGTCATTATTATTATCAGATTGTGTCAATGTGTCCAGTCAATGTGTCCAGTCAATGTGTCCAGTCAATGTGTCCAGTCCATGTGTCCAGTCAATGTGTCCAGTCAATGTAACCAGTCAAGAGGACTAGTCTAAGAAGCATTTGGCTGGACAGGTACCAATTTTAGTTGAATATTTTTTATTGACCAAACCTTTTTAAACCCTGAGGCCTATTCACTTGATACGGTGGCCATCTTGGATTGCAAGGCATTATGGGGCATTCAGGGGGCAAACAAAGCTTTGTTAAAGTAATAATGTTGATTGATGATAACAACTCACCACAACAGAATACAACAAAAGATGAATTTAGATTGGACATCAATCACCTTAATCCACAAAAGACACACGAAACCTTACAATGTATATATTTTTTCTGTCATCATTGCTTTGTTTTGCCCCATGGCAAGATGGCAGCAGCATCATCAAAGTAGTCCATTATTGCTATTTGCATTGAACTAATTGTCATTTGATTTTCATTCAGTGCTTTTAAGTATAGAAAATGTATAAATTGTGATAATCATTATTTATTTACGCTTTGGTTTGATGTTTTTCCACTTTTGCAGTTTTTCTGGCTTGGATTTCTGCAAAAAAAATTAATAATTTGAAAATAAAGCTAATGTATCAGGAAATTTTTTAAAAAGCTTAAAGCTTTTTTCTTGAAAAAGGCGCAATATAGCCTAGCTACTTGCTTCACACTCGGGCCATCAGCAATGAAAAACCTTGAGCCATAAAAGTGAAGTTATACGAGATGATTTTTAGCACAACATTGTTGCATGAAAAGTTGGCATGGCGGGTGCAGAAATGGATGGAAACAGTGTTGTGAGTTTTGAAGGTCATTCAAAAACTTGCAACATGTTGCTTCAAAGACACATCGCTAAAAATTGAAACCACACACTAGGTTACATGAGAACAATTTTTGAGCAATATCACTGCACGAAAAAGTTTCAGTGTGAATGGTCTCCTGAAACACCATCTTAAGGGGGGAAAAGACTGCTTGCCTAGACCTTTTTGAATTCCAAATTACTGCTGTGATCCTTGATTACAGACTCATTTACTCAGGGTTAGCCTCATTTCAATAAGCCAGTTCAAAGTTTGAGAATCGTTTTCAGGGCAGTGTGATTTTGTCCCTAATTTCTAACTTTCTTTTGCTTATTTAAGAACAAAGGAAAGTTTAAACAAAGGTGAGTAATTCAGGATAAAATCGCATGCACAGTGAAAATGATTCTTAAACAATAAACTGGCTAATTCCAACAGTAAAGTAGAGAATGCACAACTTCAACAATACAAACACTTTGAAATTCTACTATCCCTCACCTCTGGAACACACGGATAATCTGCACAAAGTTGAGGCTAACCCTGAGCAACAGAGAACTCGAAACTGAATATTTGAATCTGTGAGTTAGCTACTCACTAAATTGCCCTATTTCACCATGACATCCAATGCTTGTTTATGTGGGGATAGAATCGCCAAATCCAATAGAAAATTCAACAAAATTTGCTCCTAGCGAAACAATTTAATCTAAAATGGCCTGATTTTCAGATATAATATGTGTTAATATGTACTAAAAAATATTCTGAGCATTTGCTGGCTATTCTACCTCTCTTTGTGGAATGATATGGGATTTAGAACAATTTTCGGTTGACCTGACCCCGTCCGACGACCATGATCTTTTGCGTTTAAACAATAGATTGTTTTGATGTGACATCATAGTGAGGTAGGGCAATTAGATGGTTTGATAAATTACAATAGACACTCTTTCATAACCCCATACCTTTGTTTTTTTCTTTTAAGAACTTTTCATACTGAAAATCTAAATCCTTACTGTCCCTGGTGCAGACTATTTTTGCTTCTCGGTTGGTGCTTATTGCCTCATCGATCAGCCCAAGTTCAAAGTATGCTTGTGCATATCTGTACTGACCCTGCGCAATAGCAGAAAAAAATATAATTAACCGTTTTGTCAAGGTTGCATGCGCATCCAACTTTACAGGCCACAAAACTGAAAAGTGCATATTAAGTAAAATTGATAAGCCAGTTTTATATTTAAAGAGAAGAATGATCGATTTTATAAATTCTTAGCTAAAAAAATTTAGAACAATGCATGATAATACTTGCATTCTGGTATTGTGGCCCGTCAAGTTCCTTAAATTTGGATGCGCACGCAACCTTGAGGAAACGGTCTATTTATATCTTGTTGGATAAAGAGCACACACTGTGGTAAGAGGGAAGTGTGAGGCAGGAGTCTGCTCTGACTAAAGGAGAATAAGTATTGACACGCATCCATAATATTTAATATAATGAAAACTTCACTCAATACCAGACAAATAAACCTAATATAACACTAGGTTAATTATGGTGGCCCTCGACAGCAACCCTTGAAAAGATAACACAACCACATTATTTTCAAAACAGTTATTCATGTGCGCTTGTGTGTGTGTATCACCCTTGGATTTGCCATCCTCAATAAAATGTCAGTTGGTGCTTTTTCATGAACAGTGATAATACCAAGGACAACAGTACTGACCGTGTAAAGTAACAATATCAAGAAAAATGATACTTTCAACTGTTAGAAATTAACTCTAGGGTTTTCTCCTACCTTTGCCCAATCAGGTTTTAGCACAACAGATCGCCGTCCATCAAACAGAGCTTGCCATGTTTCTTTAGTTCTTAAGTAACTCTGTGCTCTGTTCCCATATAATATGTAGCTATATTGCCTACAAGATAAGAACACTTATCAGTTACGGCACGATTACATGGACCAATATTCTCAGCAATTGTCTCAACTTGCAAGAGGGTTTACACAGTGCAATGGAGATGCAAATGTTGCCAAAAGTAGAAACGATTTCTACTTTTTGCAATGATTGCTGCAAATTGTCTCTCAACATTTTTTCAAATTGCAATGTAGATTACAATCTGTAATGCTCCATGCAACTTGTGTCACAACGCTGTTGCGAGACAAGTTGCAGAGAATGCCTTTATTAACCTCATCCAAAGGCAACCAGTAATCAGATTCAGTCCTGGCGTTTCTTATATACTTAGTTAGATAGAATTAGGATGAGTTTACATAGGCAGTAACAAAGGCTTTGCTGCTCATGGATATAAACATGAACGTTGCGTGATGACCAAGGTCTATTGTTCCGCAGGTCAACTATGTTCTTTGTTTGGATTGATCTTTTATCTATTACTTATACACTATTTTTATACTGTACTGATTTGAATAAAGTTTGTCACCAAAAACTTAGAAAGCTGAGATCACTAAGGATCATGGGAAAGAATTCATTTCAAACAAGTGAAACTTTTTTGATACAAACTGCAGCTTGAGAATGCTCTCAGGAGGTGAAACTGTAACTGGTAAAAGATGTGCAAGTCCATCAACAGTTATCAAGCGGTTACAACATGTAAAAAATGTATCTACCCATCCTTGTCGGTCTAAGCTTTGTAGCTTTTCAGGCAACTAACTTCATTGAAATATGAAGTATTTATTAGTTGACTTACGACATTAGAATAGCTTTGGTATAGGCTGATATAGCTGCCTTGTATTTGCCGTCCATAAAATGTGTATTCCCTTTTTTCTTCATATCTATACTTTGCTGTAAAACAAAATTAAAAACATGACAATGAACCACTACTGTAAATGGGAATTGGAACTTATTGATACAGGCTTTGGGAAGGTGCTACATGCAGGGAACAAGATTAACTTTTAAACCCACTAGCAAAACCTTGCCTGTATAAGTTTTGTTCTCATCACTAGTGATCGGATGGGGTGAATAACAAACATTACTTGATGTGGATTCTAAACTTTTCAGTCCTACAATTTCTAGAATGTGGTCATACTCACAAAACTTAGCTAGTTAAATTTTTTGTCACTCACTAAATATGAAATATGACCGCATTTTTAATTTTGTGACAGAACAGAAACTCTGCACCTGGGAATGCAAAATCCTGTCATGACTTCTCTTGAAATTGGGTAAGCAAGGGCAAGTAGAGGTGAGTGCTCACCTCTCATCAATGCGACCTGGGTTCAAGTCCCGCTAGGCTCGGTGTCCTATGTGAGTAGAGTTGTTTGTTGGTTCTCTACTGTGCTTCGAGGGTTTTCCGGGTTCTCCGGTTTTCCACCCTCCACAAAAATCAACTCTTATTTCCAACTGGATCATGGAACGAGGGCCACAGGTTTGTTGCCCATTGGCATTTATGGCTATTAAGTGCTAGCCTTGCAACACAAGCACAATTTGTTTTTTTCTTTTTAATTTTTTTAATCTATTGCTATCTTTTTTTCTTTGAGCATTTACCTCTAATTGCAAATGTTATTGAACCCTGAAACAACCTTCCCTTGAGGAAGTTTATTAATAAATAAATAAATGGGATTTAGCAGTGGCATTTCTACAGAGTAGCTATTCATCGACTGTAATTCCAATTGGAATTTAGGAGTTGATTTTTGCAGAGGGAGGAAAGCCAGAGAACCCAGAACACCCTCGAAGCACAGGAGAGAACCAACAAACAACTCTACTCACATACGACACTGAGCTCAGCGGGACTCGAACCCGGGTCGCATTGGTGAGAGGCGAGCGCTCTCACACTGTATCACCATCTTACCTTGGTCTATTGCATTCTTGATACTGTATTAAGATTCTTACATACCTGCTCATTCTGACGACATGTATCTTCAAACTGTTTGGTCAGATCTTTGTTATCTCTTGTTAATTTTCTTATGTGGTCATACACTGAATAAAACAGACAGCAATACAATTGATACAAGCTATGGTAGTCCAGTAGTCCGTAATATTTTGTATCTCCAAGGGGTTAGGTGTGTAGTCAGTCTAAAGGTGCGATTACATTGAGCAACTTTCTCTGCAACTTGTCTCGCAAAAGCATTGCATTAAAAATTACAAGAGGGTTTACACGCTACAACAGAAACTTAATCCTTGCCAAAAGTAGAAACAAATTCTACTTTTCACAACGATTGGTGCAACTTGTCTTGCCACATTTGTTACAAGTTAAAAAATCTATCAGTTTTCTCTGTAATCACAGGGTGGGACAATCACGAACAGAACTCTCAGATCCAAGCTGGGTGAAAGCCCAAGATCGAATTGGAATTTAGAAGTTGGTTTTTGCGGAGGGAGGAAAACTGGAGAACCCGGAAAACCCTTGATGCACAGGAGAGAACCAACAAACAACTTTAATCACATACAACATCGAGCTTGTAGGGACTCAAACCCGGGTCACTTTGGTGAGAGGCAAGCACTCTCACCGCTACGCCACCCGTGCTTCCCTACATGCTCCCAACACCATTGCAAGACAAGTTACAAAGAAAATTGTTCTATGTAATTGTGTGTTCATCCTTGTTAGATACACCTAAGATTTGCATTGATCTGGTTTCTTATCTCTAAAGTAATAACCCTTGCTACAGAATGGAACTTACTTTGTTGAAGTGCCAGTAGTAATGAGGTATCTCCTTTACGTTTACTATCCCCCTTTTTCTTTAAATGGGCTGTTTTGATATGCTCCCTGCAATCCAACCAAAATAAATAAATAAATAAATAATATTCTGAAATATCTTGGATATGTTTATTCATGTTCAAATTAAACATGGAAAAGAAGGTTACGAAGAGAGGCGTATCTTATATTTATTTGTGCGAATTATGTTGTGAATGAACAAATGGATTCATTAATAGGATGTTTGGGTGGATGCATGGTTGGGAGGGAGGGAGGATGGAAGGATGGATGGATGGATGGATGGAATAAAGGATAAAAGAAAGAAAGAAAGAAAGAAAGAAAGAA